AACTTGGGCAGTGGCAGAGGTGGGAGTTCTAAAATCATGGAAAACCATAATTGGGAGATACAATTAGGAAGCCAGAAAAATTAAATTGAGCATCTTTGATTATTGAGAAAATCGAAGCCTGCGGGTTTTAAGGACCTGGCCACCTAGTCCCTGCCCTGCCTTCCGGAGGTGGCATTAAAAGGCCATTAGAGTTTTCTTGACCTCCTTTTGGCAGGCTTTCTTTCTTTTTCTTTGAAGTATATCTCTGCATAGGTGTTAGCTATTCAGTTTTCAGGGAGAGCTAACTATCTGGAGTCTCTGCATTTGCTTGGCACAGGGTGTAATCTGAAGTTTGCGAATATTCTTGTATCAAATCAAATTTAATGAGGGCTGCACTTCAAGGCGCCACCTGGCAGAGGGAAGCTTGTTTGTGTCTCATCTCAGAGAAGGGAGGCCTCACCCAGGGCTAAATCAAGGATTTTCAAACACGTCCTCCTTCCTGAGCGGATCCTCAGATTCTCACGCATGGGAGTGGGTGGGATCAGTCCATGTTGAATCCTCTCGTCAGTATCAAATATTAGCAGCACCGATTTTGACAAAACTGGAAAATGTATTCCTGAGGAAAACGTGTGAGTTTGCGTTGTGAAACCATAGGATTAGTGGGATCTGTGTTTGAAATTGCAGTCTTGCGTGGGAAGTGTTGTTTTCATTTGGATTTAGAAAAGTTGAGCGTGAGTGAACCCCCTTGCTGGGCTTCACCTAATGTGCATGAGGGGGGCGGGTGCATCTCCCCAGCTTTGAAGCTCATTGGCTGTTGCTAGGTGATGCAGAGGATGGCATGTTGGGGCCAGGTTTCTTACCTTACTCTGGGGTGGTCTCAGCTCCCTCTGCAAGCTGGACAAGGAGGGGTAAGCTTCTCTGTGGGCACTGGGCTCAGATTTGCAGCCTTTCGTGTGGTTAATTGGCGTGTTGAGGTGGAACTGCCTACATTCCTGAGGGTTTGGTTCTGAAGGCCTTTGGCCCGACATCCATAGGACTTTGGCATAAGGGTGACATTGGTGTTATTCAGAACACACTTTGAAAGGAATTTTCAAAGTCAGCTATTACACACACACACACACACACACCCCAGCTACCTAAAGACTGAGTTAAAAACAATCTTTAGGGAAAATAAGCAAACTCTCCTTAGTTTTTCATTTGTGGGTATAAATTCAACTTTTTCTCCCCATATCAAATGTTTTTCGTTGTACTTATTTATTATATAGTCTCCTCTATCTGCTTAGCTAGCCCTTGTATCAATATCCATTGATGAACTTGTGTGGTGATGTATGCCTGTAATCTGGGAATGCCTATAATCTGGGAGGATGAGGCAGGAGGATCACAAGTTAGCAGGAGCAAATTAGCAATTTGCTTTTTTATGCGGTTCAGATGGGCCTTGAACTTCCTATGTAACCCAGGCTGGCTTTGAATTTATCACTGTCCTCCTGCCTCAGCGTCCCAAGTGCTGGGATTACCGGCGTGCGCCACCATGCAGGGCTAAGACCGTGTTTAAATACAAAAACACAACTAGGGATGTCACACAGGGCAAAGACCCTGAATGTAATCACCAGGTCCCCTAAAGGAAAACAAAAATCATTGATGATTCAGATACCTTTCAAGGGTGTCATGGATCCTCGTGTTTCAAAAGTGTTTTTTCACGCATCCTTCCTCTTTAGGTAATGTTTTTGTAAGTTGGCTTTTTTAGCCTGGTCTCCACGTTTATCACCATTTTGAGCAACTGTTGAGAACAAGTCTGTTGTGCGCCCCCTGCTGGTTGCATTTCTTCTGCGCAGAAACACGGGCTTTCACGTGTAAATTCATTGCTTTGGGTTGGAATCCTGTGTTCACATCTTTCTTTTCCTAAAGACTTACTTTTTAAAAGACAAGCAAATCCAGCGGCGTTCTGTAGGTCAGGTTGGGAAGTTGGAGACTTTCAGAAGGTCAGCATGTCTTGCTGGCCACCCACTTGGCAGGTGGAGGGCTTCCCGTTCAGCTTTGCCCGGCGGGGTGTGGCGTGGGGCACGCTCTGGTGGGACCCCTGGGGTTCTGTGAGGTCGGAGGCCGCTGCCGGGGGTGCCTGGCTTACCATGTTGGTGGTTTTACCTGTATCGGGGCAGTCCTTCTGACCAGGCTTTTGAAACCTGCCAGCAGCTGGTGTAATGGGCGGGTGCTCTGTGATAATCCCGATCCCGCAGGTTCTGCAGATTCCCGATCTCCCTGAGTCATGTGGATTCTGGAGAAGCAGCAGAGGGCACTGTGTTCTCAGCCCCAAACAATGGTGGGACGGACTCAGTTCAATCCCACATGCATTTATCCAGTACCTACCATGTGTAGGGCTTGCTTCAAGGGATTCAAGAGGAGCCAACAGCTGGGCATGGTGGTGCACACCTGTAATCCTAGCAGTCTGGGAGGCTGAGGCAGGAGGATCACAACTTGGAACACAGCCTCGGCAACTTAGCGAGACCCTGACTTGAAATTTAAGAAAAGGGGTGAGGCTGGGAATGTAGTTCAGTGAAGACACCCTGAGATTATTCCCTAGTACCCCCCCTTCCCCCAAAAGAAAGATGAGCCAAACCACTGCCTCTGACTGCCTTCTGAGCCACACTCCGCAGTAACAGTTGGAAGCCTCTTCTGTGATATTAAGTAAGATCCGAAAGAAGTGAAGAAAGGAGATATGGCCCTGCCGACTTACAAGGAACGCCTTTTAGGATAGATAGCAGAGCAGTGGTTACCGGTCAGCCCGCTACATGGGAGGGATGAATTCTAGAACAGCACAGCAAGGTGACTGGCATCGGTAATGATTTATGATACACTTCAAAAGAACTAGAGGAGCGAGCCTCGACTACTTCACTCTACAGAAAGGATCACTGCGCTCATGAATATGCTAATCTCCCTGATTTGATCATTGTACAGTGTATACTTTCTGGGAACCTCACCCCTACCCATATCTTTCCTCAAAGTCTAGTATTTGGATTGGTGAAATAAAACTTACCTGTCTTTACTTCTCAGGTCACGGTGAGACCAGAAGCCTCTGGCTATCACCGCCCATCTGATGGGTTGACTCCATGGCGCTCACTTTCTTTGCCTGTAAGCCATGCGATAGACTGGAATGAGATTAAGCGCCTTTCTTGTTCTGAGCAGAGTGTTTCCAGTATAGATGGGAGAAATGACGATGGGGCCTCTGCTGATCTTCCTTTATCTCCTACTGCTCAGGGTGCGCCCCCCCCACTCCACGGCACTATCTCTGATCCTAAAGCTGATACCTGGCGCTATGTCACCTGTCTCCACCCCTTCCTGGTTATGTTCATCCAAATTCAGCATAAGTCATTAGCCTAGCGAGGGCCCCAAAGCACCGAGTGCCTTAGAGTGTGTGACCTCGAGATCCACTTTCCTCTGTGCTCTGCAGAGCTGGTTCTCAGCCATCAACTGCTGCGCGGTGGGAAAGAAGAAGTTTTGTAAGTCCCAGGAGAGTCTCTTCGTGATGTGGATGATGCTATCAGGAATAAATGAATGAAATGACGGTTGATGGGGTGCCTCTGTCTCAGGGTTTCTCACCTGAGAAAGCAGCTCTGTTGGCATAGGGGGCTGGCTACGCAGTTCTTGGTTATGGGGAGCATCCTTAGCACCGTATGATGTTTAGCAGCATTCTTGACTTCTACCCGCAAGGTCGTGACTATCGAAAGTGTCTCCAGACATTGCCAGATGTCCCCAGAGGCGCAGTTCCCTGTGGTGAGGGACCCCTGCTCCGTGCAGCACTCTCAATTCCGCTCCCTCGGCAGTATTCGCGGCCACGTTCTTTTTGTGTGTTTGCTGTATTCATTTATTAAATAGTTATTAAATCTCTGCTCCTGTCAAGCTCTGTGCAGATTACCAGGAATAGAAGCAGGAGCCAGGCATGTCTTTCTTGGTGTTTTACAGGTGTACAACGAGTCAGCCTGTGACCTTGGCCTGGAGGCACCGTGACTTCTTTAGTGGGTGTTGTGCTTCTATTTCTGTAGCCTGTGTCTTTGAGGAAAGTGCCCCGAAGTGTGGGTCAGTAGCCCTGGCTTCTGGTACAGCTAGTAGGCTTATAAAACGATAATGTGCTATTCATTTATCAATTTCACCCATGAGTGCTTTAGCCATTTCACGTCCGGCTTCTCCCTTGTCTCTTCAGATTTGCTGTTTGTTTTTTTTTTTTAAATAAAATTGTGATTTCTTTCACTCCCTTGAGCCTTCCACCTGAGGCTTCATTTCAGTAGGGGTCATTTAAAGTTTTATTTGACAAAACTTCTTTTTGGAGGTCAGGGTGTGTTCCAGCAAAGTGATGGTCGTTAGACTGTTTTCTGGTGAAGTTAGAATATTTCCTGTTAAGAACTGCTCACGGGAAGTCAAATATATGGCAGCTTTTTAAAAAAAATATTTATTTTTTAGGAGGTGTAGGAGTTTCCAGTTAGTATAAACTATGCGGGTAATTGTAATTTTTTAATTCAGCGTGATGGGCACTTGGGGTTTTCTTATATTATTTTGTCTGTTATACTTTTGTTTATCTGACATAGTTTGTAACAGATTTTCAGGAGAAGCCAGACAGCTGGAAATTTGATTTCTTTCCCTCTACGCTTAAAAATAGATGCTTAGGAGTTAGGTCGCCACTTCATAGACTAGTCGACCTTTCTGACTGGGGTGGGGGCTGCTGAGGGTTAGATATTTAAGGTTCCTAGTTTTTAAAATCCTTTTAACAGGCGTCGCTTTTTTTTTTTTTTTTTGGCCACTCTCCACCCCGCGAAATTTACACTTTGTGCCAGGCGACCAGGTTCGTCGACAGCAGCCTCTGACCTGGGAGGGATCAGTTTCCCCTAAGGATGCGGTCGGGGAGCGGGGTTCCCGGCGCTGGGAAAGCCCAGGGCGAGAATTAAACCCGAGAGGGAGGCGGGGAGACGCAGGGGAGGTGGGAGGAGGCGGGGAGGAGCGACGCCCGGGGCCGCACACCCCAGTGACCAGATTCCTCGCGGCGCAGCGCGGAACTTCGCGGGGACACCCACTCCCTCGCCGCCCGCAGCCCGGCGGCCGCGTCCTCCTTTCTCTGCTGAAGTTGGAGAGATGTGAGGCCGGACGGGCGAGCCCTGTGCGCCTGGCGGAGCAGGGTGAGCTTAAACGCCACGATCCGCTCCTGCCTCTAGCGAATCTCCTGGGGTTTGGGGTTCGGGGGCCCGTGTGGCCCCGGATGAGGACAGGTGAGAGCCCGGAGTCGGGTCCTGAGGCCCGGGAGCCGGAGCCCGGCGGGGGTGGCGAGCGGCGCCTCCCTCCTGCGTTCCGGGCGCCGCGCTCCCGGAGCCCGGGGTGCTGGCTCCGCGCACCGAGATCGGGGCTCTGGGAGCGCTCGGTCGTCCCTCTGCCTTCTGCCCGCGGGGATCGCAGCCCTGGGCTACCGGCTGGGGAAGGTGACGCGGGACCCAGGCCCCCACCTGGAGATGCGTCCTCCGCGCTGTCCCTCTGCGCCCGGGGCAACCCCCGGTCTGCATCCTTGTGAACGACCCGTGAGAGGGCTGGGGCTGGGGCGGGAGGAACTTCCCGGGTCTCCTCGGGGGCGCCTGGGAGAGACCTTGAAGTCCGGGTCTCATTTTGCATTTGAATGAGTGAGTGAGTCCGCAGGCCCTCTGGGCAAGGAGGTGTTATTTGTGTCTCTGGAACTTTTCTGAAGATGTCGTTGATTGCCTGAGGATTTCGGTAGGGCGTGGGGAGGAAGTGGGGCTGGTGATGGCGGCGGGGTGGGACCGGGGCAAGGGGCAGGGTCCTAGCCGTGGAATGATTGGGCCCAAACTGAGTTTCTTACCAGCACCCTTTCAGCGCGGTTGGAGCTGGTCTCAGGGCTTCTAGTGTGTCCATGGTCTTTGCTTGTGGTGTAGGGGTCAGATGGAGGTTTTGAGGATAACCTGGTTTCACTTATTTCCTATCTGGTCAGTAGCAGAAGGAGTTGGAGCCAGGATTGTTTTTTTTTTTTTGTTTGTTTTGTTTTTGGTAAGCTGAATCCTTCATAAACATTTTTAGAGATTCACCTTACTTTTAGGGCAAGAAATAAAAGTGAAGAAATGTCTGGGTCTTATGATGTTTTTAGAAAATCGAATATTCATTTAACAAATGTTTCTTTTCCAGTGCTGGGCCGATGGGATTAGGAGGTGTTAGCAATCGTTCCCTGGATGTCAGAGCGGGCTGTCTGGCTTTCTCTCCCTGCCTGCACTTGAACCTGCTGAGGAGACAGCTTGCTGGGGCCACCGTTAGCTCGCGGTGACCCTCTGGCTTTCTTGAAGTTAGAGATACATATGCAAATTTGAGATCTGGGCCTGGCACACCTGTTAGAGCCCTGTGCTTGAGCTCACAGGGCACCGCAGAAAGGACCCGGCAGGTCAGGTAGACAAGAAGTTGAGGCTACTTTCCCCACCCCCAGGAACCTTCAGGTACTCACTCGACAGGAAAGACAGCCAGGATGGATCTCATGATAGTGCTGGTGAAACTGACTAATAGATGGAGTTTTACGGAACAATACTCCTTAGCTGGAGAAAGGGGAATATGTGATTCACACACAGAAGGTTTTTAACCATTGTCACTTGAGATTGTTAGAAGGTATCATGCAGACACCACTGGGTCTCTTCTCCCCTCCTAGTACGTAGTCTGGTTTGGTTCCAGCTGTTTGTATCCCTTTTCTTAAAAAAACAAAACAAAAAAAACTTGTCCATTCAATCTGTTTAATAGGCATAGGATGATTAAAATTATTAGTAGTACTGTATTAGTATTATTATTTGTGGTTCAGAGGATTGAACCACTTATGCTACAGGCCACCAGTCCTTTGAAATTTTATTTTGAGATAAGGTCTCCCTAAATTGCCCAGACTGGCCTTGAACTTGCCATCCTTCTGCCTCAGCCTCTCAAGTAGCTGGGATCACAGGCAAGCACCACTGAACCCAGCTAAGTTATTTTGTTGTAGTAACGTGCAGAAATTTCCCCATTTTTGTATAAGAGTTTGCATTTATCGACATAAAGTTGTGCAGAATATCCTCTTATATTTTAAAAGACCATAGAGTCTGTAGGAATGTTTTCCTTTTCATTCCTGGCATTGACTGCTTTTGCTTCTTTTCTTTTCCATTTCCTTCCTTCCTTCCTCTGTCCAGTGCTGGATGCTGAACGCAGGTGTCTCATTGCTAAGCAAGTGCTTCACCCCCAGGCATATGTCTTAAATGTCTTCTTTTTCCTTCCTTCCTCCTTTCTTTCTTTTTTTTTTTTTTTCTTCTTTTTTTATGGTCCTGGGAATTGAACCCAGGGCCTTCAGTCTGAGCTACATCTCCAACCACAAATGTCTTTCATATTTGCCAAAGATGAGCTCAAATTGCAATCCTCCTGCCTCAGCCTGCTGAGTCACGAGGATTACAGACATGTACCGCCATCCCCTGGTCATGGGTCTCCATTGCTCTGGTTAACATATTTCAATTTTGCCTTCTGGAAGAACCAATTTTAGTTTTTGTTTGTGTTTTAATTGAAACACAAAGCCCAACTCCTTCCTTGAGTTTGTGTGCATTAAAAAAAAAAAACAAAAAAACAAAAAAACTCTGCCTTGTGGAACGAATAAGCGAGTCTGAGTTGGGAGGAGGAAGACGTTATGTGTTAGCTTCGTGTCTTTGATGTAGATTATGTTTTTCATTGAAACATACGTTCTGTTCATGAGCACCACACACATTGGACAGAATTGTTCCCAGGTCGGTTTGTGTATTCACTGGCGCACATCCTGGAAGTTGTCTTAGAAACATCTAGCTGGAATATGCCTAAGACTCACTGGTAATTTAATACGTCTGGTAGGTGCGTTCAGCCCACTCAACAGTACACATTTACCGTGTGCAAGAGAAGAGCAAATGTGCTCTAATGACTGCAGAGGAACATTTTGTTTTGGTTCATATTTAATGCATGAGTCTGAGCATTTTAAAGTCTTAGAATAACTTCTTTTAGAGGATGTGGTAGGATAAGATCAAGAGTGCTGGAATCAGAATGCTCTGGCTTTGAGTTCCTGTTCTGCTGCTCTTAGCTGTGTGGCCTCAGGAAAGTTGCCTGAACTCTCTGAACTTAACATTTCCTGAACTGAAAATCCACTCTCGGGGTCTGTGTGCAGATGTTGCTGTGAATTCGTGTAGGGTCCTGTCACGGGGTGTGGCATAAAGCAGGAACTTAATACATAGTAATACTGAGTGTGTTCTGTCTTCATAGGAACAACTGAGGTTCCAGGTCACTCTCTAGATTTTTATCTTATTTTCTTAGTTGATTGATGGTAAGTGGGCTATGTATTTTTAGCCCTCTGATTTTTATCTTGCTTTTCTAGGATTTTTTTCCCAAGCTCATCATATCTCCTTGAATGTCTCATTGCTCTGTTCTTTTATTTCTTTTCCTTTCAGTTCCTTTTCTTCCCTTTATTGTTTACTTTTTCTTTCTTCCCTTTCTGCCTTTTCTATCTCTTCCCTTCCCCTTCCTTCCATTTTCTTCCCTCCCTCCCTCCTTCCCTTGAATACAAAGCTCAGAACTTAACCAGGGCCTAGAAACACCTCAGTCCTTTGGAACTATGTGCACTGTTGAAGCCTAGAAGGGAAAATAAAAGCACAGGGCTGAGGCGCTCCCCTGGCTAGTATTCCTTCACCGAGGAGTATAGCGGTGTGCAGCTCACCCCTGCCTGAGCCATTTGGGCTCATCAAGTGAAAAGGCCCTGGGGCATGTATGCATAATTCATTCATATTTGTATATGCATAATTCATTTAAATGTATTTCTTTATGGGAAGAGGTATCTTTTGCTTTATGGCATGATGCTGAAGTTGTTCACCACTTCGCTCTGGGGGAGAGCCTCAGTTTACATTTCATGTAGTGAAGGGGCCTCAAGTGTGACGTTATTTTCCTGAAGACAGATTGATGATTTGCCCTTGGTCCACCTGTCCGCTATGACCACCGGTAACTGGTTTGTTCTAACTGTTGCTTTTATGACAGTGAAGAACAAAGAGGTGTAAGTTTGCATAGGTATTCTGCAATGCTTCTGCCTCTCCAGGAGCTTGTAAACAAGTGTTAGCATGGCTTGCATTCGGCGCAACTTTGAGGAAGAGGTTACCACTCTTGGGAAGTTTTATTTGCTGGCTGGTTGGATGTGGACTTATGAGATTTTGTTCTGAGTACCTTGGAATCATATGCACCAGTGTTTCCATAAATGAGGGGATTGGGTGGGCCGGAATGATCCGAGAAGGTGCCTCTTACAAAGCCACAGTGGGCATGAGGGCTGGTAGAGGGGTAGATGCCTCTTCGAGTATTAAAATACAAACTGCTTGGGGCTGGGGATTTAGCTCAGCGGCAAAAACGCCTGCCTGGCATGCGCAAGGTCGAGAGTTCGGTTCCCGGTACCGGAGAAAAACCAAAAAAAAAAAAAATACAAACTGCTTATTCAAATACTAATACTGAAGTATTGCACACCTATAGCATATGAGGCACTTTCCCTATGTTATCTCATTAATGTTGCTAGCAGTATATAAAAAAATGAACACAAACCCCACTATTTTCCTGTCTGCTCTTATAGGTAGAATCACTGTGGATTGAGATCCATCTTTTCAGGCCCTGAACGAAGAGGAGAAAGGTTAGTCCTATGGCCTGCGACGCTCTGAATCGCAGCTGTGCACCTAGGATGTGAGTGGCCCCAGCCGATGGCACCTTTGGACACCTTGACAAAGCCACTTCTGCTTGGAATGGGGTAAGTGTGTCATGGAGGAGCTATGTGTTCAGAGTCTTTACCGTAGTAGGGTTCTACCTGAATGTACCTCCCTTTGGGGGCAGGAAGATCATTAACAGTGACTGCTATTTTGGTGAGGGGAGTTGCTGGTTCTCCCCAGTAGCAAGCAGAGATTTTGAAATTGGTTCCCTAGGAACCTTCTGATGCTTCCAGGACCATTCTTTGGGTAGTTGCTATGGTTATATTGTTTTACAGACTTCAGAGGAAGATTCCCTACCTTTGTCTCCTTGCCTTCTCTTTTGCCTTCCTGTAAGATTCTAGGAAGGGGAAAAAGGGAACAGATTTAGGGCTGCAGAGGGAGAGAGTTGGCATTAAAATCTGCTTATTTGGGTTTTGGCTTGAGGGTTCATGTTATTTTTAACGGGCGGGGTAAGCCTTTATCCAAACTGCAAAGTGGGTTGAGGTGCAGTTTAAAATCTCATGGGCGCTTCAATGCTGTGGTCACACTGGACGTCTTCCTCGCATGAGGGGCTTGGGGCTTTCCTCAGGAAGGACCAGGGGTGAGTGTGTGTCCTGCAGTCTCCCTTCTCCAAGTTGGGGGATTGGCACTGTCCATGTAGTCCTCATTTCCTTCATGGGGGACGAAGGATTTAGATGACAGAGGTTTCTCCCTGTGCAAAGGAGAGGTTTCTCCCTGTGTTACTGTTGTTCTTTCCTGCTTTGCCTTGTTAATGGTGCGTTCGCATCATTATTATTATTTAACATCCGACCGGGTTTGGGTAGAATTCTGGTTGATCTTGACTTTGAAAGAAAACAGGAGGCAGAAGCACAGACACTTTGGAGGCCTGGCCCCGGCGGCTTCCAAATTTTCCCACCCAGCATTCCGGGCCGTGTTCTGGGATCTGCTGTGACTTGTCCCTCCCGTCTTTCCTGTCGCTCCTCCCTGCCGCAGTCCAGAGCCCGCCTGGTCACTCCTCCCCGATTGTTCCCAGCGGCTGCCAGACAACTCTCTTTCGTCACCCTGTGTATCACAACTGGGTTATGTGCGCTTTTCCAGAGGTTGAAATAAGGAAAACATCGATTAACTCTTTGTAGCACTTGCTGCCTGTGCCCTGCCCGTTGCTCTGGGAACTTTTCCTTTCTTGCAAATTCGCTCTCCCCAGGGCTGTGGCCCTACTTTGTTGGGAGCTGCCCTGAGGACTTGGGTCTCCTTTGACCAAGGGTCTGGGGGGTCCCTGTGCTCCAGATCACCTTTCTATAAGGTTAACTGAGAGGAAGCTCACACATTCCAGCACAGCTCTCAGGGTCCCCTGTCCTGCCTCCGGAGAGCCTTCTGTGGCTTCCCTCCCTGGCCCTGCTTCCATGCAGATGGTTTTCTCTGGAAATCCTAATGCATAAGCTAACAGAACTTCTCCACTCTGTTTTAAGTAACTTGTTGAAGGCTGAGGCAGGAGGAGTTTGAGTCATGCTTGGGCAACTTAGTGAGACCCTGTCTCAAAATAAAAGCTCAGAAGAGCTGGGGATGTAGCTCAGTATGAAGGCTCCAAGATCAACCCGCATTATTACCACCAGTAACCAAACCAAATGAAACAAAAGCAAACCAAACCAAATGCTCAAACAAAAACCAAAAGACCCCAAACACTTGACTTGTCTGTAGTGACAGAGTTGGGAAGTGGAGGAAGCTGGAGGATTTGAACCTGGGTACCCCAGAGCCAGAGTATATACTTGAACCGGTACGCCTCAGCGTGTTCCTCCGCAGCGGGACGGCTTGTTCTTGGCTCCCAATGTGCCTATGCATGCTTTGCGATGTGGCTGGACGGCCCTGTGGAGTAAGCTTTCCTGGGTCCTGTCTAGCGCCCTTTTTGGGTTCTCCCCGGTAGTAGCCTTCCGCTAGCTCTGTGCTGATTCAGACTTGTCCATTCCTGAAACTTATACTCTGGTTCATCCCAGCCCGCTGTCCCTCTGTTGCAGAACCAGCATTACCTGGCAGATGGCTGTCTTGCATATGTCCTCTCCCCTGGCAGCACCGTAAATCCTTGGGAACTGCAATGATGCCCTGTCTCACAAGGAAAATGTTTAGGGATTCTTTGGGGATCTGTTAAAAGCCGGTTGGAGCCGGCCACAGAAATGTCAGGGTTGTGCTGAGGTTCTTTGAATGAAGGGAGCTAACGTGGTTTAGGAGCCAGATTAAAAAAGAGCAAGGAACGGATCTGAAAGTTGGGTGCCCACCCTGATGCGCGCCTGTGTGTACTTTCTCACTGCAGCTGCTCAAGCTGAACCCTAGGATGGATGGATCATCCTTTGGCTTTGAGCCATCTCCTCGCAGGGGACCAGAGCAGATATACATGGGGGCAGTGCAGATCCTCTTCTCGTGCTTGTGAATGTGGTTGGACAGGTTCCATGCAAGTGGAAGGAGAAACTTAGGGAGTAACCCCCGCCCCACGCTTTAAAAGATAATGGAAATACCCTCAGCAGGGTACTGCGTGTGAAGTTTTAGCTCATGATGGGCCACAATCCACAGGAATCTCTCATTGCTTTTGTCGCCTGGGACACACTTCGGCTGCTACTTTAAGGCCATGGGAAGAGAGCTAGCCCAGGAGTAAGAATGCAAAGAGAAGCAGTTATGTACACTGAGCAGCTACTGTATATCTGGCATTCTTCTAAGTATCCTCTAAGAGAACACAGCATCCCTTGGTGCTTGGGGGAGTTGGTTCCAGGACTTCTCAACACCTGCTGTTCAAATCCCTTATATGAAATGGGATAGTGTTTCTGTACAACCTACGTGCGTCCTCCTTAGACTGTAAATCACCTCTAGGTTACTTACAATACCTGATGCAGTGTAAATATTACGTAAGGAGTTGTCATGCTCTGTAGTTGAGATGATTATGATAAGAAGAATGAGTCTGTGCTCAGCGCCGAAGTAATCGATGTGCAGTTGGTTGAACTGATGATTGCAGAGCTATGGATGTGGAGCACTGGCTGTGTAGGACTGAACCTTCCACCCCTCTGGCATGTGTAATTCTCTTCCTTAAGTCCAGGTGATGGAACCCAAGTGGCTTGACAGAAATCCCACCGTGGTGGCACTGCCTTTGGCTTTGATGTGCATTTTATCTGACTTTTGAGCATGGTGACCTTCAATTCTGGACATAAACAGAGAAGTTTAGATGAAGACATCTAATAGTTATATTAATTCTAGAACTTAGAGATTCTTGAGTTTATTTCTAATCTATACCTTTTCTGTGTTAGCCAGTTCCTCCTAGTGTTCCATGAATTCATTAGTCATATGCGTGAAATACCATGGTTAGATGTTGCTTTTTTGGAGAGGGGAGTAATATTTGAAAAAATTATGAAATTAGGGCTCTCCCTTTGGTCTCAGGCGCTCATCCACAAGTGAAGTGTTTTAGGTGGTTCTTGAAACACCGTTGGGAGAGTCAAGTCGTGTTTCTTCTCTCTAAGAAGCAGGAGACCCTCTGGCTACAGTGAGGACTTTCTTTGACTGTCTTGCTCCGTGTCATATGCAGCCTGGGATGTTGGTGCTGTGGGTCTGATGCTGCAGGACGCCCTTCCCTGGCCTGTCCCTCTCCTGCCCACACTGCATAAACATTGGCATGGCAGGGACAGATGGCCATTCTGGGGCTCCTTTGATGTCACATTTGGTTGCCTGGGTAGGGGGTAGGGTGTTTGCAGCCAGTCTCCACAGGAGGAGGAGAGGCTGCCTGGGAAATACCCACTTGACAGCGGGTAAACAAAAGCTTTACTCCGGAAAAGCTGGGTGCCCTGGTACATTTGCAGGCCGGACAGTAATGGAGTCAGATTTACATAAGTGTGTTTAGCTTGGGAAGAAGCCAGTCTTCCCAAAGCGCGGCTTCTCTGCTTCTGACTGATGCTCCTCAGAGACTGGTTTTCTTATAGGAGATGCGAATGAACTGTGTGGGGAATGGGGAAAGGACCGATGCGGCTGTAGATCATTACTGTCATAGCTGGAAAAGAATTCCATGCTGGAGGCCTGAGTTAGCTCTGCTGGAGGCTCAGGTGAAGGTGCCTGAAGGACCCCAAGGGAAAGCATATGGTGCCCCCAGCAGCACGATTCTCTGCTGTTCAGACAGGGTCAGTCTATGTAATGAGGGCTGGAGGCTTTGATCGCAAGAAAGAAGCAAGCTAATGAAGAACAGTGCCCAGACGGGCAGTGCAGGGAGGCAGTGGAACCCCCTGCAGGGAACTGCGAGAGGGGACAGTATGTTAGCATCGGGTGGGATGCTTTGTGGTGCCCCTTGCCAGGGCTCCCTGGAGGGGAGGTAGCTGCGATCGTCCACACGCAAACCAAGCCTGAAGCCCAGGCCAAGCGAGACGCTTCAAGCCCCGGAACTCCAAGGAAAGCTTTCCTGATCCTCGCCCTGGGATAATAATTATTGCTCTTTCATTTTCTAATATACTTATTGCAATCCCAACAGGCCAAATTAAGGTAATATGTTCAGCTTACCGGAGTAACATTTAGTTGCTGTGCTTTGTGTTAATTTTTTTAGGGGGCTGGTGAGTTCGTTGATTAATTCTTTCAGCAACTCCTTCATTTTGCTGCGATGTGACATACAGCTGACAGTAAGCTGACGGGGTGGCAGGGAGGAAATGAAGGCCGTACAGAGTCAAGAGGGAAGCAAGTGAAGGCGGAGACCAGAAGTTTGGTAATTTGGAAGAGTCAGAACTCTGGCCACTGAGCTGTAAGGGGTACCGGTGCAAAATTCTTAACACTAACGTTCTTACTAATTTTTCTGCTAGTCGTGGAGAACTTACTGCTTGCCAGGCACAGTTGTAAGTGTGAAGTATGAAGTCCTAAGTTCTAAGGGTTGAAGCTTTACAGTAAAAGTGAGTTATGGTCATACCAATTTGACCTCCGAGGAAATGGGTACAGAGGGAAGTCAGGGGTACCACCTGGCTGATATGCATTTTTGATTTACCAGGTTGTCACCTCACGATGGGTTTGCTTGGGAAGTAACCCCATGGTACGTTGAGGAGCATCTGTGTTC